TATATATTGGTGTAGCTCCATATTGATCAAAAGAATAGGACAGCAAAGGTAGCCAATCTCTTTCTTTCTCAGTCCTGGTGGGAAAATCCTGAGATCCCGAATCATAATTACCCTTTATAGACATGAATCATTCTGATATATATATAATTAATATGTTGCAGCTCCTTTGAATCAATTGTGGGAAATTCTAAAGAAAAATCCTTAAAAAGTACTCATCATTTTTCTTTCCCTCTGTTATGGCCATTGACAAGTATTAAAAAAAGCCTGCAATTTGCCTTGAGACAAGGTGGGGTGGGGCAAAGAGAAGAGAGAAGCATAGATGGTAGCTGTTTTCTGGGGATTATTTTTTCTTTCTTAGGCTCGGGATGCCATGAATCAAGACTTTGTCCACTTGCTTTTATATTTTGCTGTGTGGGGCAAGTTATGAATCAGATTCTGATGTGTGGATGGGAAGCCTTTGGATTTTGGGTTGATAGTTCGCTGTGGCTCTGTAGGCTTGGGTCCCATTACAAAATTGGCACCATTCACATTTGCTTCGGGTGTGTTTTTTCCCCTTAGAGCCTTTTAAACCTCTATGATGTAACAAATTGACAATCGGAGGGGTGTTTTCCTTTTGCCTCCTTGATAATGCAGCCAAATCTCGTTGTTAAGAATCTGACTCAAACATGAAGAAGTGACCAAGAATCTGATCACATTTTGGTTACGAAACAGGCATTCGATTAGAAATAACTTTAGAAAACGGGACAGCCCCTCGGAAGCATAGACCCCGTAAGAACCTCCTTGGAAACAGAACAGATGCCTATGAAAAGTGAGAGTGAACATAACAGATTGTCAGATTCCGAAATGTTCACTTTTGGGGATTGAAACGTTGAGATACTAATGGGTAGCAAAGAACCTACTCAAGTTGCAATTTAAAACGTCAAAAGTGTCTGGTTTAGCTGAAGTTTTGGGGCTTTGAACTCCAGTTTCTTGATGTCCAGCAGGACAGAAAAACATGCTGCCAAAATAGCAGAGGCATAGAACACTAAGGCCTCAGGACAGCTTCAAGTCCGGAGCCAGAAATGCGAGCTGAAATCAACCATTCATTATTTGGACACTTTTTTGCTGTCATTTCTAACAGGCAAAAACCAAATCCGAAACTTAACCCAACTTGTTTCACACCTTCACCGCCTACCCCAAGTCCAATGGATGCTTCGATGCTTCTTCTGACAATGTTTGTTGTACATGAACAAATGAGTCTTCCCCCCTTCTTCCAAGTTTATGTGAAAACTAAACTAGGATACAACAAAGTTGTGTTTAGTTAGTATCTTTGGGGGAAACCTTCTGGGCTCAAACTGCGATCCTAGAGGTTTTAAAGTGCTCTTGGTGCATTTCCTTCTTAGTTATCTGGCTTGTTTCGTCCCTCAATCAATCAATCAATCTAAATGCTTCATAAAACGTAAAGCTCTTGAATCCCAAATTGCAGGAGGAGACCAGGGGAGAAGAAAGCGTGGAGGTTTATTTTTATAGCATTAACAAACCTGGGCCCATCTTTTCTGCGACTTGTCCCTAACGTCCCATAGGAAGAATAAACGTGGAAGAGAAGTTAAAAGCATCTTAGCAAGGAACCAAGAGTCAGAAAGAGTAGGAAAGAAGTTCCAATGGGGCCTTGGAGCGAATCGATTGTGAATAAGACAGACGAAGTTGGCAAAGGTGATGTAGGATGGCCCTAACAAAGCCAGATGAGCTGTGTCATGAATGGGGAAGAATTCCAACTCAGTACATCGCTTGAACGGTTCATAGAGAATCAGGATCATACCTAGGTGATGTGAACTCAAGTACAATCACCATTAGCAGAGCAGCATCGTTATCAATAGCCTCGTAGTCATGAGTGCGAAAGATTGTCTCAGCCTGTGGAAAAATTGCACCACAATCTGTACAAAATTATTCGAGGCAAAATGGATTCAAGTCTCTCACCTTAGTAATTATGGTTCTCATGATAGAACAGTTCCTTGGCTCACTACAGCTTGTTGCGATTGTGCACACGCCAAGCATCAGCTAACCTATTAGTGCCTGCAATTCCTTAAGCTAAAATCCTGCCTGACTTACAAGAGGGAACCGGGGTCAATTCACTGAGGAAATGGATATGGGAAGAGACTGAAATGTCCTTAGCGATTGAGACAAGGAAAACCGCTGCAAAAGCATTCAATCAATGCCTTCGGACATTGTTCTTCCTTTGTTTTCAATTAGAAAAATAATTGTATAAGAATGACAAGAAATTGTTGGGACAACAGATGGATACATTTAAGGGATTTTTCACAATCATATAAATTACGCCCTCCATAATATAAATTAAGGGCAAAAAGGAAAATATTTAAGTAGAGGATATATCAATTAGGTCCACCGTAATGAAGGTAGCACAAAACAATTCTGATTAACTTGTTCAATTGCTGCAAGCCATGGAAACGCTGATCCTTGAAATGAAAAAGATACCCAGTCACCTACACTGATATCAGTAACATAAGCGCGCAATTAGCTTTCTCAGTTAACACAAATTTCGATTCCTGGTTTTTCTACTGCCATTAGTATCTTAATATACTACAGACAGAAAGCTGCGAACAAGAACTTTGCTCACTAGGGTAAATTTAATCAAAAACACTTTCGATGAACAACAGAAGGGCCAGTCTCATCGTAATCTGCCTTTGTTACATGCTGATTTTGTGGAAACACCACTTTAGCAAGAATTGCACCTCCCACCCATGCTGAGTACACTGTCAAATTCTCTGGCATATATTCTGGAGGCTGCAAACATAAACTAAGAACGATTAACACAATCAATTAGAAAGCAAAGTATACACATTTAGACTGATGTATTTTGCCCCATATGTACACCGTGTGAGAATTACCAAATATAGCATTAATTCACCCTGGTCACATAATAGATTACCTTTACTAGTGAAGGACGGATAGCTGATGTGCACAGGCTTGCTTCTTTCTGAAACCTATCTTCAAAACCTGCAGTAAGCAGAGGTAAAACAAGTTAACAGCGGTGAAGCAAATAGTCAACATGCAGCATATTAACATCAAAGCAACTACACCTAAAATTCTAATGAAACATATGTCATGGCTAAGAGAATGCAAAACTAACCCTCCTTCATTATCCAAACATCAGAAGGATCAAAAGATATGATTCTTACCAGTCATAGAAGTAGTCCCACCACAAAGGACAGTATTTTCTAGCAGTTGCTTCTGGTTCTCAGAAGAAACTGTTGAAATACTACGAACAAGCTGCTCAACAATTCCATGAGCTTCTAAACCCAATATAGATGGTTGAAACAATGCCTCACCAACAGTAAATCTTTCTCTTCCAATTCTTATCACCTGAATTGACATTTGAAAAGTATTACAATCAAAAACAGAACAACTTGGAGATCCTAAATGCAGATGCACCACATTAAGAACATTCATCTTCTTTTTCTCATGTATGATACGAAAATTTATAACAGCCATTAACTCCTTATGTCAATCCTCTACATACTCCAAATTATAATATGAGAGATATAGAGCCAGCAAACTTTAAGGACGCCCAAGGTAAGATTAAGGACTTAGGTAAAAATCAGGAACTTAAACAAGTGCGAAAATAAAGCAAAAAAGAAAAAACAAACCTGTCCATCAGGAAGGGTATGCTCCTCTGTCTCACATGATTTTAGGGTTCTGTCATAAGCAAGTTCATCTTCAGCACAACATGAGAACTGCTCTTTTAATTTCTCAACATCTGAGATGCTGAGGTTTACCATAGGATTAGATTTACCCAGTTCTTGAGCAAGTAACTTTGTCAAATCAATACCTCCAATTTCAAATCTTCTTGAGGCAATGTGTTGGACAGCACCTTCAAGTACTGGAGCTATGTCTGTTGACCAGGGCAAAGACCACATGGCACAACAGAAAATCAATAAAATTAATAGGAAAAAGCCTTTGCAGCTTAAAGCCAATTGTAACTGATTCCTGATCTATTGTCCACAACTAAATTCAACTCTATGAGGTATGCTAAATACCTGACCGGTAAGATATTTTATTTTCACTTCCTGTAATTACTCAATGTTCAAGGCTGTTATTTATTTTGTTATGAATTTGTGAAAGAGCTCAATACGTGTCATCATGCTGGTCTTATTTTTTCTGATATGAGTAAAAAGATTTTAACTTGCCCTTTACATACATGAGTGTAGAACCAAGCACCCAAAATATTAAACCTCACATGCTTCAATGCATTCATGCACATACCTATCTTCCCATGACCAATATCAACAGTACAACCTGAGATACGCCCAACAGCATACAGAGATAATACTGCTTGCTCTGACGCATAAAATCCTGAGACATTAAAAGTTTCGAATAGCAACTGCACCAGTTGTTCTCTGGCAGCCTGGAAAATAATTAGTTATAAGGAAAAACATAAAGTATAATAATTTTACACCATTTATTCACATGGTAATCAACCTCAAAGAATAATAGATTTGGCCAGAATGCTAGGACAAAAGTAAAACGGGCATGGCAGGGAAAATGAGGAGGTACTACAAAAGGGTTTAACAGTTACCAAATCCATTCTACTAATTAAAGGCCAGTTAATGAGGGATTACAGCAGGTAAACGAAATCTACATTTAGCATAAAACTACAATAGTCTATTTTTCTCAAGAATAGGCAAACATAACCTTTGAGAGAACAGCATCCTGTTCGATATCTTTCCTTTAATTAGCAAAAGATCAACTTGAAGATCAGCAAGAATAGAATGAAAAAGATAAGGTGGCCAACCTTGGGGGTACAAAGTGGATCTGTAAACAATATTTGTCCTTCATTCCCAACTTCCCATCCAAGGCCAGTGTATAGAACATGGTGCAACAAATCTTCCATAGCATCCCAGTCTCTAATGAATCCTCGCACAACAGGATCAATTGTAACATCTTCAAACATTGAATTATCAGCTGAGGATTCATCGTCAAGCATGCGTTTCATTTGAGTAGGAATTATCTGACCACAATTTAAAGAATTAAAATTGCCATACCTCACGCCCGTACAAGTAATTCAACCAAAATGAAAACACAAAATTAAGAGAAGAGGCAACACTTATTCAAACCTTCTAAAAGAAAGGGATTAAAAGAATAGAGAGAGAAAGAGAGCAAGGTTTCAAGGACTTTCCTTTCATCTCAAGGCTCAGAGAGGAAGAGATCCAAAATCTCCCATACAATAAAAGGAAATTCTACATTGCCACCCAAAAGACACTAAAAACTAGTAGCACGCTTGATGACAAGAGTCCATCAACTTTTTTTTTTTAAACATACTCTAATACAGTATAAGACATGATTTATCCTTCAACAATATCCGCAAAAACCAGTGAGTAAAAATTTTAAAGTTAACAGCTTCATGAAAATGCTCTATTCTGCAAGAATTCCCATGATTATAAAGGCAGAGTCACACAAACCATGTAATTTAATTGTTCCAACTAACAGTAACAGCCCAGTAGTTTTAGTTTTGGTCTCTTTCTTCTGTAATTTTTCCGTTCGGGAACTGGTCTCAACGACCACTTAGACTTTTCTCAGCCACAACTCTACTTGTTTTTTCAATTTTCCTCGTATGGTGTTTCTTTACCTATTCGAAGCGAGGTGTTGAAGAAACATACCATGGACGGAGCCTGATCCGGGATCGCGGGTCCCGCCTTGAGAAGCTTGGAGCCAGCATCGACCACTGCCGCCTCCATTTGGCCACGACGTGCCCCAAAATCTAAACCCTAATTATTAATCTGCAGACAGAGAGAGACAGATGTCTGTGTTGGGAAAAACCCTGGATTTGATGTTCGGGTTTTCGTCAGAGGGTTTATCAACCTGTTGAAGGCTTAAAGCTCTTCGCTTTCAAAATGGCTAAAGCACTTTGGGAAATGCACTAGCGGTGCTTCGTCTGTTACTGGTCACTACTGGGCAGCCTCTTTTCCTCTTAGCGGGCAATGGTATCCTCCCTCCTCGTTTAAAATCTATTTATATATATTATTATTTTTATAAATAAATAAAATCTCTTTGCACTTTGCTAGAAAATGGGGTTAACTATTCTTTCCTGTAACCACTTAGCTTTTTACTATTAGCAGTAATAGTATTATCCTCAAATACGTCTCTGTAATGGTAAAGCTTGGATTGATTAAAAAGGAGTCTCTCCAGACCGTCAGAAGGGTAGACTAAAGGAAATATGATTTCTAGAAAGAACGTATACGAGTGTATAAATGTATAAAAAAATTAAAGAAAACAGTGTACCAACAAAGGAGAGAAATAAGCATAAAGCAGAGAATCTATCCCGTGTTTATTCTCCTTGAGCCATCACACCCACAATTATACCCTTATGCAGCAACCAGAAAGCAACTAAGCATAGAATTCTCAACCAGTTCTGTTTACCAACCCCATCAATCTGCATTTTCAAGTCAGCTACTACCCATACACTGATTAACAATCAAGACTAAGATTCTATGAGAGTTAACTGAAAACCAGATTATTTACAAGATATTAGGACACAAAAGTAGCATTTCTCTTTCATATTAGACTTGGTATCGGAAGCTCCTGGTTGCTGCATGCATGATAATCCTCCAGGTATTTGACCTCCAAATTCAAAGGCAGACTGCTTAAACCGTCACCATCCAAATCCACAGAAAAATGACCATCAGTTGCAGGACATGCTGGCTCCCCATCCCCTACTGAAATTAAGTTGAAGACTTCACCAGCTTGAGAACCATCATCACTTTTCTTGGAGCAAGAAGCACCATTATCTGTGAATGGCATGTCACTGGTGTCAAACAAAAGGGCTTCAAGGGGAGACTTGTCATTGGAGTTGTCTTGAGAAGTAAACTTTACATCCAGGATTGGACTTTCAAAATCCACTACAGAAGAAGAATACGATAATTCCAGAACATTCTGCAGAAATTCTTCGTGAAGACCTTGTTTGGTGACTTCTGCTTTAATTTCTGTGCTTCCAGGAACTCCTTCCTCATCAGCACCAGAACCATCATCAACATGATTTTCAAGGAATTGATTCAGAATATCAGCTTCATCAAGAACCAAAGTTTTGTTTGTTCCACTGCTAACTTCCCCATTTCCCACGTCCCCTGCTATCTGGTGCAAATCATGTTTGGCTGAAGTAACTATGCAGTCCACTGTGCCATGGCAGGCAACTTGTCCTTCACAGTCTTCAACAACTTCTTTAGTTGTTTGCTCAGAATCATGGTCATTCAGAGAGCATGTCACCTCCACTATTCTCTCTAAAGGACAGTTGGAGGACACTGATGCTATCATTGAATCCATCCCATCACTTGTGTCAAGACTGCAAGATTCAGATGTTACTCCAAAATGTGATTTCCGTGACACCTTTTTGTCAATGCTACCGTCTTCTTCATTTGAAAAATCAGGGGCTTTTACAGCAAGAGCTTGAGTATATTTTTGAGGCTCAATTGAAGTAGAAGACAGGAAGCTGGCAAGGGCAGATGCTAATGCATCATCAATTGACATAGTCTGCTTTGGTTTATCCTTAGGAGAATCAATTTTTGATGCATGATCATCTTCCTCGTCATCAGCATTAGAAAATTCAGGAGCAGTGACTACAAGACTTGGGAATGACTGAGTAGCATTTACTGAATAAATGATTTCATCACATCGGAGAGATGATGAAAAATCCTTCTCACGTGATTCACATAAATCTTCGCAGGAAGATTCATTTCCAATGTTATAAGGAGTGTAATTATCTGAATCGTGGCATGAAAATTCAGGGGCAGAATATCTTGTGCAAGACGGCAATTCAGAATTCTTAGGCTTCTTAGTGAGTTCTTCAAGCTGCTGCTCTACCCGCTGGAGCCTTGAATCAATACTGCTTATGGGCTTTAGCATGTTCTCTTCAAACTTCGATAAGAAATCTTCTACTCTGCTGACTCGAGAAACAAGATGTTCCAGGAATTTTTCAATATGCCCACATGATAAATCGCCCTTGGCTTCTCTATCTTTAAGTTGTGGGGGGATCTCATGTCGATTTAGTTCAATTGTTGACGCAATTGATTCCTGCTGATTGGCTAAACTGGGTCTTCCTTCTTGCGGGATTTTGTTTGCACAATTTAATGGTTCAATGGTCTTTGGCCCATTTTCCTGTGTTTTTTCATTCTCCTTTGTGCCAAAACTGTCTTCATTTTGTATGTGGCGAAGACCTGCTGTTTTAGATAACTGCAAAAGTGTCGGAGCAAGCATGGCCATAAGAGAACTTCCAGCTGCATTTCCCATCTGACCCACTTCATTTTCTGAATCATCTGATTCAACAGGATCACCAAACACATAGAGTTCATCAACACATACACAGCCTTTATTCTGAAGTGAAAGCAAGCGGAGAGTAATAGACATGCAGGGGTTTGTGTCATTGATCTCAGCAGTAGCTTCATATAAATCCTGAAAGTTTTCACCAATCAGCAATGGATTAAATAAAGACACAACTATGACTCTATGTTTAACTGTGACTCTTGTGATAGTCTCCTGTTTGGAAAGGAGAGAAAAAGAAGAGTGGGAGGAAAGGACTATTCTCAAGTTCCTATTTTCCCCTTATAACTAAGATTTCCATGTTGCAACTATGTTCCAAACTAACTCCTGAAAATTAAAACTACTCATGCCTTTGAAGTTGAGAAAGTCAGCTTGCCTTGTTAATGTTACATTTCTTTGACCCACTTTTTTCTTTAGTTCTTAACCATTCCATTATTGCTTCTGGATTCTAATCTTTTGAACATGTACAAAGATATAAGCTCTTAATAGTTTTCGCCCCAGTTTCAGCTGCAGTCTCCTCTCATAGTTGATACAAATTAGTTTCTCCATTTGTATGAAAATAGGTTAAGAAGATGACCTTTTTTTTCCTTTTGAAATTACCAAGAACAAGCAGTTAACACCATAGAATGCTAAGAAAAAGGGGAAGGAAGGAAGCTTTGCTTGGATGAATCTGCAAGAAAAAAAATTTTCACCTGTGAGCTCACACTAAAATTTGATGGCACACTGCTTCCACTATCTAGCACAGGAGTATCAGGAGCTTTCACTTCAACCCAATCATCTTCGTTCGAGTTTGAAGAGCTGTCATTTTTTAGTCTCTTTTCATCCGACTCTTTATTGGCTTCCTTTAGATGTGCCAAAGCAGCTTCATCGGGGTTGGCTGCATGAAGCACCTCTTCATCTCTGGAGGCAATACCGCAGCGAACAGTAAAGAGATACTCATTGCTGCCCTGATGTTTAGGAGCATTGTATATTTCGTATACTCGAGCAGTACTTCGGACATAAACCTGTCGCACTTCATGTTTTTGTGCAAAGGCAACTGCAGCATAAGATGATTCACACAAGGTGAGTAAGGAATTCAAGAATTTGGACAAAAGGGATATTCGAACAAATTCTTTATCATTGTTTGAATTTAACCATCAAATTAAAACAATTAAATTCAAGAAGAACAAGTCACTTCACTGATCTTAACTTCAAAATGCCGAATATTTCACCACAAAAAAGGAAAACCCAATAATCCAGTAAGATCATCTTGTACGCTAACAATTTTTTTTTGTCAAAGTCAGAAATTTTCATATAAAAAAGAAAAAAAAACTTGAAATTGCTGAATGGGAGATAAAATAGATAGAAACATGGTAAATCTTTGGAGGACTTACTGGTGATCTCGCAGGGGGTGGTGGAATCAGGTGAAGTAGGGCACAAGATAAGGGGGGATTTAGGAGTGGAACCGACAGCGCTTGGATCATGTATGTCGTGTTCATGTTCATCAGAGTCGGTGATCGGCGAAAACGATGACTCGAAGGTGACGGAACTAGGGAGAGAACCACCGGCGATTGACCAGTTGGTGGAGGAGCTCCAAGAAGCGTCGTAGTCTTGGAGTAATTCCATGGTTTTTATCGAGTCCTTGAGTACTGCCTTGGTTTCCAAATCTGTTTCGCCGCGGAAAGCGATTTTAAGCGAGTGACAGAGAATCAGGAAAGTGGCTTTCTTGCCTTCCAGGGGTGGGAACGTGGGGGTGATAAAGTCGTAATTTTTGGGATTTTTTTAGGACAATCTCGTATCACTTGCTGCTACGCTTCTGCCACGTCACTATAGTTGATACTGAGCAGCGAGCGCGTTCGTAGTAACGGATATGGGAGATGGGAATCAGTTCTCTGTGAATAATAATCGTTAAAATCTCCGAATAAAAAATGTTTGAATTCCAGTTTCTCTAATTTAAGTCATTGAAAATCCAGTTAACATCGACAATTCCAGGCTCTTGCAATGGCTGTTTGGCTTGTAAATGGAACTAGACATGAGCCAGTTTAATACCAAATTGTGCTTGGAAATGTGAGTTTCAGTTTTTTCCAGGACACATGATTGCAGAATCCATGGCAGACAGAGTTCATGCCTCATGGTGTTGTGAGTTCTAACCAGGGTGATCAAAACAAAAACAATGTAAGAGGAAAACAAGTACAAAGTTGGTCTCATCCATTGCGATCATCGGGCAAAATAAAGCACTGAATTAGATTTCAAGTACCTCCCAAGATAAAAATTACAAGCACTAACAAGTTACATGGTTTTCAGCACTGCCACAGCCAGACTACGGCAGTGCCTCACTTGTGACAGATCTTAGCAGTCGGCATGGTGACACAAATAGGAGCATACACCTTCCTGGCCTCTGGAGTGCCAGGTTTGGGCTCGCCTGCCGCTGCAACCCCGGCAACTGAGCAAACTGCGGCAGCTGCAGCTGCAAACATCAGCTCCCTCCTGCGATTGTTGCACTCTCTTTTGGTCTCACCGCTCAACTTAACACTCTCCACTTCAGCTCCTTTTGCAGTATTGGCAACCACGAGTCTCCTGTGGGCAATTCTGGGAGACCCTTTTGTGAGGCTGGTGGTGCCGAGGAATGATGCTGTCATGGTGATCGAAGCCATTTTTACTTCAGGTGCTTAGGTGCCAACGGGTTTCCGACTCTGAGGGAGTTTTTGTTTCAAGTTAGTTAAATTCTTCGTTTAGGAGCACCCGAATCTGAGACCTTATCGAAAGAAAATTTTGGACCAATGTTCGAGTGCCACATCATTCGAATTATCAATGTAGAAACCTGTGGTAGCCATGAAATCTCTTAGGTGGTTCCCAATTTCAGAAAATGGGGACCAACAACTAAGAGAACTCCTGCCTCTCTCTCCAGATAACTCATTTTTCTTAATTTATTCTTTATCCCTCAGATTGAATTGAATTCACATCCTATTGCTGCTAGAGAAAGTACAGGCAAGAAAAACAGGATCATGGACAAGCCAGCATCAACCATATGTACCAAAACAAATGAAATGCAATGTCTTTCCTCTTTCTACCGTCATGAAATATTGCTACAATAGTCTAACTTTTACAAACATAGGCTCCACCACAACTTTGCTGCATGCTCAACAACACTCTAGCAATAGAAAACTGACTGCAGCAGGGGAGGTGAAACAAAACACAGATACTAGTGACTGAACATGTCCAAGTGATTCTTATCACCATAAAGAATGACAGCAAAACTTTTTTAAATTAACCATTTATATGTTTTGATACATATTGTAGCATGGGACCAATTAGGCCGTATTCCAAAAAAATGAATTGCAATTTGAGATTTATCAATTGGGAACCAAGGAGTTTAGAACATGATAAATCTATGCATACACCGCTTCTTGTTCTCTTACATCATATGGGGATGGCAGTAAATCTTGTACATTAGCAAAAAGATCTTCACGACCGGATGGCACCCCCTCAATAGGTGAATCCAAGACTGAATCAGGGATTGCCACAAGCGTTTCCTCAAAGAAGGATTTCATTGTCTGCAATAAGAAAAACTGTGTCAAACTTCATTTCACTGTAGCTAAAGAGAGAATTTAGATGGATTCAATAGGAAAGTAAAGTTGAAGCATTAGCCATTAAGATTTTAAGGATTCCAATCGTGAATTTATGGATTTCACTGTTTCGGGAAGCTTCTTTGAATAAATAAATGAAGGCGCAATCCCTGAAAATGATACAAGCTAAAGAACCTGATCTGCTTCAAGTAGCAGAGGTTTGTAATTTCCTTTTAGGCCAAAACTATCCAGACAAGTTTCCAAAAACTGTACTAACTCTTCTAAAGGAAGAAGTAAGAAGGGTTATAACAATTTTCATACCGTGCAATGCTGGAAAGCAGAGTCAGCTTTGCGTTTCCACAGACTATTTCCAGGCTCTGAGTAAAAAAGGTTGAGCAGAGGCTGCAGATATTATAGCATATTCATAAAGACACATTATGGATGAAGGTAAAGGGTAAAGAAAAGCTATATTTAAATGATGATAAACCTTAAGCAAACCGGAAACATAACCTGAAACAACATTAGTACAGAGAGTGATTAACAACAGGTATATTTCTGAAGGCTTTGAAAACCATCCACAATGACTACTAACAGCAATATTTCCTCATGAACAAAGGGATGATTGCAACGATGATGTGAAACTGACAAAATTGCCTACCTTCGCCACCTCTCGGACATTAGGTCTATTATTTCCATTTCTTCCCAAAACAGAGTCGCCATATTCTTGATATCGTTCAAGGATCTAAAAGTAGAAGTGTAAACAGCAAGACAAAATTAATTTAATGACAAAAGTGGGCAAAATGCATCAATTAAGGGCAGCAATTTTCCATCCAACCACGCGGCGTGTAAGACCACTACTTGGTTGACCATATATTGCAGTATCAACATGTCCCAAAGTCTGCCAAGGGCTGTTGAAGATACCAAACAACATTTACTCAGCTAATTCAGAGTTAGCCAAAAATAGTAGATCAGAGAGATAGCTTAATAAATATAGGAAAACAAACGCTCAATAGCCAACAAAAAGTAAAAGATGCATTAAACACACAAGTTGTATGCAGCACGTCCAACCATAACACCATGAGCTCCTTCTCTTAGTGCTGCATTTACCTACGATTAGAAACGTCCATAAATAATAGGTTACAGATGTGCTGAGAAGAGTTATGACAGCAATGCCAAACAAAGGTGGTTAAAGACCAAAGCAAATGTGACTCTAAGACAGCCAAAAAAAAATTTCTCTTTTCTACAGAAATTTGCTATCCCCCATCAGTTCTCCAATGCGTTGAAAAGCACATTAGCTAAAACCAAGCTCAATTTTCCAGGATGCAACTATGTGTTATTTAATGGTAATTACCAACTACATTACAAGACTGTAATAAAATCCAGAAATGGAATAATGCAAAATTCCTTTAATTTAAGTCCATGGAGGGAAACCTTCTCATCATAGTGTAAACAGATATGAGAATATGTTTCCTAATTGACATTCATGGCATCACCAAATAACAATACAGGACACCAGACTTATTATACTTAAGGTTTGCCAGAGTAAATAAATGATTAGTTTGATAAAGGTTCACCTCAACAACAGAATTTATGCCTCCATTTATTGTAAACTTCAAGTCTGGAAAGTCACGCAAGAGGGCGTAATAGTACTCGTATCTGAATTCAGAAAAGACAAGTGGTCAATTGCTCATCTCAAAGATAGTGGTACATTAATATTGAGCAACAGGTAACGTAACTGAACAGTTTGATATAAACAAATCTAAAGCTCAATAAAAGATTACTTCAGTGGAGGAATTCTTCGATTATCAGCTGGGCTAATGCCATTTAGTAGAGCCTTCCGTGAATGTATGATGAAATGCCTAGTTGGTGATAGGGAAGAAACCTTGTAGATAAAATCACCTGAAAAGGAGAGAGAAGAAGAAAGCAAGACTTAGCATCCAATGAGGCAGTCAGCACTAAACACAATGATAGGAACAATCCTTTCCTGAATAAAAGTAAGAACACACACACACACAAAATGGAAAAACCAAAAATCTGAGCTAGTTCCAGTTAACAGGTAATATTGGCAGAAAGACCTTACAGAGCTCATTATATGAATCATGATCATCAACACCAATCCGGCATTTGACACTGACAGGAACATTTGTATTGGCAGCAATGACTGACATGGCCTCTCCAACAAACTTTCCTTATAATTATAAGCTGAACATGTAAGTGCACATTGGCAAAGAAAAGCATAATTGAATCTGCTTGCCATTTTGACAATTTTATCAGCATAGCTATCAAACCTTTGGATCAAGCATAAGACGAACACCAAAGCAACCATGCCCTGCAACTTTTGGACTAGGACACCCACAACTGGTTTTATAGCAAGAAAAACATTTAAAAAAAAAAACAAAAGAAAATGCATTAGTTGAGCAAAATTGCAAAATATAAGGAAGTCCATGAAATCAGGTAAAAGAATTGTACAAACTTGAAATTAATCTCATCATAGTGGTAAGCATTAGCAAGTTCAGTGGCTTTTGCCAAGTTTTCTAAGTTATTCCCACCAATTTGAAGAACAATAGGATGCTGTTCTGGTGAATACGCCAAGAACCTGTCCTGAGCAAGAAAAAAAAAAATGAAATCAAGAGAATCAGCAATTGTTATCACTTACAATTTAGCACTATAAAGCATAAAGTTCAGCAACCAAAATATGTTCCCTACTTGCAACCAGAAAAATCAAACGTACATCTAGAGAATTCCTGTTGCTTCCTTTCCATCTTTGTTGGTGTTCTGTTTTTTTATCTAAGCACTTTCAATTAAGATTCCCCATTGCCAGCTATGTGTCATGAAACACACGAACTAAAGTGATTTTGTCTCAAGCCCTGTAATTCTTTATTTTTTCAACTATTGATGGGTTGTAAAGTCCGTCATCACAATGTCAACCATCTCTAAACAGAAGATTAAAAAAATATATAGTAATATGGAAAGTGTTCTTTAAAAGACATGTCTTCTTTCACTAACTTACCAGATTCCCTTTTTGATATACAATAGTTTCAGCTGCAAGCATCTCTGTGTAAAGCCAAGCATGTTTTGAAATGAGGCGGGCAAGAGTCCTATAATGATTATCAGTCCACTCCATCATGGGAGCTACGCTGCAAATCAATGCAACCAAAACAGATTCTCATTCCATATAGTTTGTTGAAGCTAAAATTAAAAAGCCTAGATATTACTATTATGTACCTAAACAGAGGAGGAAGATAGCGCCTGGCAACCATCTCGTCTTCTGTATGAATTTGAGCGTTTGGAGTATAAGAAGAAATGGTCCTTGCTTTGGTCGAATAGTTGTAAGGTATATTTATAGAAACTCTGCGATGGTTTTTCAGGATAACAGAATGAAAAGGTGTAAATGACGATATCATCAAAGAATAAGCTGAAAACTTCACCATCCTTTTTTAATCAGACAAAGCCAGCTCCTTTAGGTACCTATCCATTACAGGAAGCTACATCATACATTCAAATATACCGACAATAGCTACAACTTTTGCTATCACGCACATCATGGCAATCCTATATACTAGGTAGTAATTTGTAGCTCAAAAGAATAAAAAAAAAACTCCTAATCCAAATCAGGAAAATTGAACGAATTAATACTTTTTGACAGACAAAGCAAGAATTGATGTCTAAAGAAACATATGTAATATCTTAAGAATAATGGGTTTGCAGAGAGATTTAACCACGCAATGACAGGCAAGTATTAGCTCATGTAAATGGCTTAAAAAACCAAAAAAAAGTAATGGGGGTGTCGAGAGATCAGGACTTACATAACATGGGAGCTATAGGCTTTCTGGGTTTGCCCCTCTTTTGTAATAGTTGGCTGCTGGAAGGCTTGGCAGGGAGGGAGTTGGGAAGAAAGAGTCCTTGCGCCCGGCCTCCTCACTTCTCGCAGATAAGTCCTCTGCCATCCTTTATTCTTCCTTTTGTTCTTTCCTATGAAAAAGCCCATGAAAATCCCACAAACATGAAACCCATGATGCAACCCAAAGTTAACAACCTAACCCCAGGACCAATCACCAACAGACCCAAACCACTCCTCTTGAAGTGGAGCCCCAAATGCATAAATGGGCATCAGAAGGAGGCCGCCCTATCCTAACCCGCCCAATCTACAACAGATATGTGTGGTTCTCCGATAACTGAAAACTACCATCCATCATCTTCACTTCTTTAACCATTTTCACATTGCTTCCATGGCAACTCTAAGTTTCAATTCCACAAGAATCAAATCCCGGCTCTCCAATCCCACAAACCAATCTCCAAATCTCACTTTCTGGCGAAATCCAGCAACATCTCATCCTCTTCTTATCTAAAAACTACCAACAGCTGCAGCACCATTTTAAACAAAACTCTATATCCGAAAGCTCAGTGTCAGTGCCGAAAGAAGCTGAATTGGATGACGATGAAGAAGATGACCCAACTTCAGAATTGAGCTATCTTGACTCAGACACCGATCCCCAGAGCATTACGGAGTGGGAGCTGGATTTTTGCTCTAGGCCAATTCTTGATATCAGAGGCAAGAAGATATGGGAACTCGTAGTGTGTGACACTTCACTTTCGCTTCAGTACACAAAGTACTTTCCCAACAATGTTATCAACAGTATTACTTTAAAGGATGCTATTGTATCAATAAGTGAGGATTTAGGTGTCCCTATGCCAGAAAGAGTCCGCTTCTTCAGGTCAAATTTACGGTCTTTTCCATATACAAAATATCCATGTACGATTACTTGTATGCATATTAAACATAATAATCAATGCTCTTGATTGATTTCCTTTTTGTTGGTTTATAGGTCACAAATGCAAACGATAATTACAAAGGCATGTAGGGAACTTGGCATAAAGCCGGTGCCCAGCAAACGGGTGAGTTTCTAGATCTTATACCATTGCTTAATCTTTAGCATGAGATGTGCAAAAAGTCTGAAGTCTAAGCAGCTAGCTTGAAGTGCTGTGCTACTTGTTTTTTGAAAATACTTGTACAGATTCATGAAGGGAATAAGGAAAGGGGAAAGAGATAGAGTAATCTTTAGAATAGAAAGATCGTTAGCTATTTACATTAGTACCATATAGGTTGTATGAACATCAAATGAGCATTGCAGGGCAAAACTAGGATATTTTTGAGTCGAAGGTCACCTTTTTTCATATTTTAATTATCAATTTCGAGAGGGCAATATCCTGGTTTAAATAAACGCAAGAGTCCTTAAATTGTTTCTTCCATATCAGATACTCTTATGTAGAATATAGAAGCATGTAACTTTTATATATGGTGTCAAGAATGAAATTGTAGCATTCTTATGGACTAGGCAAAAAAAATGCAGTTGGGAGTTTCTCAGATTAATTTCCTTTTTTAAGAAAAATAAAAGAATAAAGGGCATGTTCTCATCTGCATAGAACTCTTAATCTTCTTTCATGCAATTGTGAAAAACTACCAAGGTTCTTAACCTGACATTAAGGCTTTTAGGAGTTGAATACCTTGCTTTACCCTCATGATTCTCTGTTTTTGCTTTTGACAAAACTGAAGATATGACAAACACAATGGCCAAATTTGCATTTCCTTGTATGTACATAGTATGAATTGCCCATCTTTTGGTTTCTTACAAGTTACAGGTTGTTGCTATAAAGCTTCAGTTGAGTTTATAGTTACAAACGTTGTAATGTATACTGTATTTTCAATGGTTGTTTTCCTTTTTCAGTGCCTATCACTACTTCTTTGGTTGGAAGAACGCTATGAGACGATCTATATGCGTCATCCTGGTTTTCAAAAAGGTTCCAAGCCACTTTTGACATTAGATAACCCCTTCCCAATGGAACTTCCAGAGAACTTGGTTGGAGAAAAATGGGCTTTTGTCCAGTTACCTTTTTCAGGTAGATCTTTCACTTTCAATGGCGTGTTAACTAATACAAGATTTACATTTTCAATAAACCTCTTAACTAACAGATTTGTTTACCTTATGTGTCCGTATAGTGTCGCATTATTGACTTCATTTGTATCAAAATACTACACATTGACAGACCGTGGAAGTCTTCTTCCTGTTATTCGCAATGAAGCATAGCTGTTTCTCAGCTAAAATGTTATTAATGTTCGATATGCTTTCTTGTCATCCTTCTCTGGTTGAAACTGTTGTCACTTCTCTGTTCTAGCGGTTCGAGAGGAGATCTCGTCCTTGGACAAAAGATTTGTGTTTGGCGCTGGTCTAGATTTGGATTTACTGGGAATTGAAGTTGATGACAAGACATTGATTCCAGGGCTTGCAGTTGCATCTTCACGTGCCAAACCATTGGCAGGTTAATCATGATCTCTTCGCTTTCCTCATTTACCATTTAAGCAATCCTGCAGCATCTTTAATCCATCTGTTTCATAATGGCATCGCCCCTCTGGGAGCCATCCCTGCGCAAGGCCAAAACTTTCATTTCATTCTGGCAAACCCATCAAACTGAGCACAACTGATCAAATTATCTGCAATTGAATCAGATTGATCGCTTTCAATTCATTAAAGATCAAATTGTAAATGCTTTTTAATTTTCACAATTGCTTTTGCAAGGGGTGATATTTGAACTCTTGGCCTCTCCGTCAGCCAAACCAATACTTGACCAAATATCAGCTCTCTGAAACATTTGTGCCTTAATATTTTGTCTCTCATTTACTGCAGTCACAGTTCAATTCTGGGTTTTCTTCATAATAAATTTATGGCTCAACCAAAATGTCTTACTGCAGCTTGGATGAATGGATTGGAAGTCTGTTCAGTGGAGGCCGACACCGCTCGTGCTTGCTTGATCCTATCTGTTGGAATTTCTACCCGCTATGTTTATGCAACTTATAAGAAAACTCCCACAACTACAACTGAAGCAGAAGCTTGGGAAGAAGCAAAGAAGGCATGTGGAGGATTACATTTCCTCGCCATCCAAGAGGACTTGGATTCAGATGATTGTGTTGGATTCTGGCTTCTATTGGATTTGCCGCCACCTCCTGTATAATCATTGGAGTTACCAAGAAATATAGATGATGATACCTTCTTTTTCAATTCTATTTACTTTTCTTTTTTTTTTTCTATTCTATTTACTTAGGGGTATTTGCTAGTAAAATCAATAGAAATCCAGCTAATCATAATCTTTTAAAGGCTGAGGTTCTGTACGCTGTAGCTTCACCGTTTGTAGTTGAAGATAAGTATTCTTAAATTATGGCCAAGTAAAACTACTTGCATCCTTCAAACTGAAGAAAAGGGACAGTTGGTAGAAGGAATAAAGCTACACATGGACCATTAGGAAAAGCGTTCATACCCGGTTATGAAAATAATCTGGAAATGCTTGCAATCTTCAGTTAAAAGGGCAACTGAAGATGAGCTTCTGTGAGCTTTCCGGGGAAAATGCTTTAGGGTTAGATTTGAAAATGCTTGAGGGCTAGATTTATTGTAGTTAGATGCGCAAAGGAGAGAGCCAAACGTCAAGATCAAATGGGAAATCAAATACATGCATTGAGAGGGGAGGTGCAAAAGAAAATTGGACAGTCTTCCACTTTCATATAACCTTGATGGGCAGGCTTGATTCTTCACCGGAAAAATGAACTGCCTGAAAGAAAATGCCTAAGCTATAGAGTAGCATTAATACAAAAGCAGGGTAAAACAAAAAATTAAAAAAAGAGGCAGCAGAACTCCAATTGTGAGGGCCTTCAGAGCCTGAGAACTGCCTCATCAGAAAAATGGAAAAATCTCTACAAATCCACTCACTAAGAATAAATTAGGCTTTCAAATTTTGGATCTCTTTTGTTTTTGAAGAACAAATCGAACACCCTGCTTCCCGAGTTCCAAGCTCTTCACTCTACCATCATCTAGCCTGACAGATAATGCAGATGTGCCTTCAATGACGTCAGTAACAGCTCCCTTATGCCTAGTTGTTCAAAGAGAAAAATAAGGATTAAATCCAGGGAATGTACCAAAAAATCTACAATCTATAATCATTAAAACAGGCTTTGGGTGGAAACTAAGAACCCTAATTAAAAACAAGGATCGTTTCCATCTTTCATGAAATTGAAACCACGGCAAATTCTTTCTTCTACTTTAGGGGTTCAAATCCAGAAGTGTACATGTTTTGCTGTTGCGTATGGAAAAAAAAAGGGTGTGTGCTTAAGGGACTCAGATTGATCATGAGCAAAGGACTAGAAAGCGATAGGCCTACAGTTTACCCTTGCCTTGTGGTTTTTCAGTGGTAAAGAGAAGCCAAATCTTACCATGAATTGTCAGATGCCTGATGAATTTCAACTTTCTTTCCGATTGCGTCTTTACCCAACTTTTTTAAAATCCAACTAGCATCCATCATGCCATCCATTAAACTGTCTTGATGCGAGTGTGTGACATCAAGATCTTCATCTTCATTAAACAATGATTTTTCCATGAAGGGCGATGGTCTCTTTCTTTTTGACCTTTGGCCCTTTATAGAACTCTTTTCTTCCTCAGAATGGACCTGAGAATTCTGATTCTCAAGATTAGGTTTCTTCAATTTAAACTTCAGAGACGGTTTGGAATCTTTCGGCAAAGAATTCAAGACAGGTGTGCGACCATAATCTTCATTACTTTCAGCATACATACCAGCCCTGTCTTCCAACTGCTTTCCTGACATCCCCTTGCCCCCTCTTAGGGTAGAGACCCCAACTGATGGTACAGCAGCAAGCCTACTGCCATCAATGCTTCCTTTTCCTAATGTAACACGTGTGTGTTCTAGAGGAACAATTCCATGCCTATCAGAACTGTTTGCTGCACCAAATTTGGACCTTAATTCAGGAATTTCTGACCTAATTTTTCCAAACTTTATCAAATTCCCTTCTCTTCCTGCAATTTTCACACCTCTTGACTTGGTGGGGTGATCGGTTCTGCCTCCTGCAAACAGAAAAAATTCCCACTGTCTCAATTACAGAACCTTTAAAGAAAAATATCTTCCAAATGGTCACCGATGCCAGCACAACAACTAAACTTTTTA